CAAAAGCAAACAAACGCATGCACTTACATCCCACCACTGATGTAAATCACATGCGAGACACACACAACCAAACTTAAACAAACAAACCAACACAACGATCTAAGACAACAGCTTGACAAGGCACTCTAGGTCTTCCGGGCATCGGAGTTGATTGAAGGCTCGTTCGGCTCGTCTCCATCATCTTGAGTAGCTCCCCACTCGACCTTTGAATGGGTGCGCTTCGATTCTTCTCCTTCATCATCACTTACATTGACGACCGGAGGATCCGCTAGGGCTAGGGTAACTTCTTTCTCCGCCACACGGACCTTTGGCGCCATTTGGTAGCGAGGGACAAATAGAGCTCTCTTCCTTGCCGTAAGACGAATCCTGGCCTTCTGCGGTGGTGCTTCTCCCTTCAACGCGGCTAGTTCCTTCTCCAAACGATCCACCTTGTCCTCTAGCTTGCAAATCTTACCACGATTCCGGTCTTCACGATCTTGAGCTGCTAACACAGTCTCCGCGCGGGTCTCATCCATAGCCCACAGCATCTCAACCAAATGCCTTGTGGTAGCATCATTCTCAATCCTCTCAGTCTCAAGGTAGCTGCCACGGTCACTTCCCTGGGGTTGGCGAGGATGGTAGCGATACTCAGTGTCGGCCAACTGATCACTGTAGCGATCGCGGAGCTCTCCTATGGCAATCCTTGCCACCTCCTGACATGCATGGATGTAGTTTCCTCCTCCAGCTTCGAACATCACTGATGGGATATCTTCACTATTACTGTTCAAGGTGACTTTGACTCGGCACTTTTCTTCGTGACGATCATGAGAAATCTAGGCATACAAAGGGGCAGTCCCAAATCCTATGGCAAAGGACATCGTACGCAACTCCTGGACAAATCCCTCAACACCAAACAGGTACTCAGGCTTGTAGCGCGGCATCTAAAGACAAGTGAAAGGAGGGAGTTATGACATTTATCCAATTAATAGCACAAGTTTTTGGATTAAGTAAAAGGTAAGTAAATAAAGTAAACCAAGCTTGCAAGATAAGTTGAAACAAGGTCACAAATTTTGTACTTTTGAACAACAGATTCCAAAAGAAAATAAAAGAAAGTTATAAAATCAACATGCTAAATTTATTTCATTGCAGCAAGATAAAACAATGTTGTAAAACATTTGCTGGTAAATGAGCCATTAGTACCGTAATAGATGTACAGTACTAACAACACTGGAATAACTTTTGAATGAGAACCACTAAAAGAGATTATGAAGTGCATGTGCTATTAGTTTGGTTTAATTAAAAAAAAAGAAAGGGAGGAGAACAGTTCTACTTTTCCAATAGTTTTAGAGGGCTTCTATGGGTAACCATTTGGCATAACCTAGGGTCAAGGGGCTCTGATACCAACTTGCCACGCCCGGAATTTCTATCCAAAATTCCAAACTCTTATATGTGTGTGAACCCTCGTCCAAGAATCAGCCGAGGCACACAATAACAAATTGATAATAGAGTACAATTATTACTCTAATTAATAAGTGAATAAAATTTCATTACAGAGGTAGATAGTTCCTCTCAATCAATAAAGATCTAAGCAGCGGAAAAATAAGATAAACGGCGCAGACGACTCCACTCCACAGGCAGCTTGACCAGGGCTACACCTAATCCTCCACACCATCAGCATCACCGTAGAACTCTTCCTTTGATGAATGATTGCAAGGTGAGTATATGACATACTCAGCAAGCCATGCAGCAAATATGCAAGTGCACAAGGATACCAAAGAATGGCATAATATAGGACTCATTTGCAAAAGCAGCATTTAGCAAACATTTGAGAATTATAAAACAGTAGAGTAATTAATCATCAATTTTAATCAACACTAAACAGCACACCCATGCTGCTCAGGCCCAACCATCCTGAACAACCATACCCGGCTGTACAGATCTATCTCCAAACCAGGAATATACCATTCCAAACCAGGAGCTAAACAAATTATTACCAGTTATAGCATCTTTTATTACGGTGAGAAGTGTGAAACTAATCACGAAAGACATTGTTAGACCCGCCCATAACCGCGGGCACGGCTATTCGAATAGTTTTACTCTGGCCAGACGTGTACCACTGTACCCACAGCGACCCCCGTGGGCTTATCTCCGCCACTTCTCAGTCTGGTGCTCCGCAATGAACCATACTATACAAAAGGTAAAGCCGTTGCCCACGCTGGCTTGTGGTTGGCACGGTTAATGTTTCACAACCGAAACTCGTGAACCGGTCCTTAATTGTCATGAGCACGACTCTCAAAACCATGTGCTCACAACCCACCATTATCAAATTTTAGTTGGCAAGTAATTAATTAACCAATCACGATTGGCCATCGTGAGCTATCATTAAGCCATCATTAAATAATAGTGAGTCATAAGTTATCCCAATAGTGTGCTAATGTTTCTATGCATGGCTAAGCAATCATATCTAATATCTAGCTTAACCAATATATATAGCACAACTAGTCAAGTTATAATAACCTAAGGTATCAAGGAATAAAGTAATCAAGAACAAAAGGGCTATAACAAACAATAGGTTAATTCCACCCAATGACATTCGAAAATAAATACAATAGTTGAATGGAAACAATAGCTTTAAACGGGATCAATATGCTCAAAGGGTTGTTTGGAATGTGTGTGACTTGCCTTGCTGGCCTTGGAACTCTTCAAATTCTTCTTCTGCGAAAACGAACTCTCCGGAAACGTCGGAATCTAAACAGAAAGGAGCAAAACACCAAAACAGCACATAAACAAGCATGAACAGTACATGTGGATATTTTTAACATGTAGATTTCAATTTTAGAAAAATTTAGAGACTTGAACCAACTAAATCCGAGCTAAGATGAATTAGTTATGTATTTTTAAAAATTAAATCGGATTAAAACACTTATATGGGTATTAATTCAATTATGACGCAATAATGAATTATTTTTGAAAAGGAAAAGGGCATTATTGCGTCAGCGGCTAGGGTTCGCGGTGAACCGGGTGCACGGCGGCGGCTCACGGAAACGAACGGCCGAGATCGATCCTATCCAAAACGGACGGCCAAGATCGATGGACGACGACGATGACGTCAGCGGTGACGTCACCACCGGCGGCGGCTCACGGATGGACGACGACGATGACGTCAGCGGTGACGTCACCACCGGCGGCGGCTCAAGCGTGCAAGCTCGCCGGCGAACGACGGCGCGACGGCACGAACGGAGGGCACCAGCACGTAGAGGGCGACGCGGCGAACTCACCGGTGACCAAAACAACGGCGGAAGATCCACGGACGGCGACGGCGTCGAGGAAGAGCGGCGGCGACGATTGGCTTGACGACGACGGCGGTGTTCCGGCGGTCGACAGCGACGGCAGAGGGGCGGACGAGGACGGCGACGCGACGGCGACCACGATGGCGACCTCCCCGAGCGACGGCGACGACTGGAGCGACGGCGGCGCACGGCTGGAGCGGCGGCGACGACAGCGGCGCGAGGTCTCACGGGGCTAGGGCGCTACGGACGACGAGAGACGAAGGCAAGGGTGGCGACGGGTAGCGGCGGGCTTGGGGGTCCTTATATAGGGGTTGGAAGGCGGCGGCGAAGGTAAGTCTAGGGTTCGGAGGAGAGAGATCGATCCGAATCGAACTCGAATCCACGGATTTCCAAACGAAATTAGCCGACGATTCCATAAGAGAATAGATAGAGGGGATCCCGGGGATCATTTCCCCTCTATTAATTTCATCGGAAACGGAAAGGGGCGGCGCGGCTCGGCTAGGGTTCGGCCGGGCGACGGCGCGAGGAAGACGACGGCCCTGACAGGTGGGCCCCACCTGTCAGCGGCGAACGCACGCGCGGGCGGACTGGGCCGACTGGGCCGAGGAAGAGAGAGAGAGGGTTTTGGGCCGACTTTCGGCCCAAAGCCAAAAGAGAACTTTTAAAACCTTTTCTAATTTAAATTATTCATGAAATGCAATTCCATTTATTAAAAATACTTCCTTAGCTCAAATAAATCCCAGAAAAATCTAGGAATTATAGAATTAAGCAAAGTTTTTAATGAAATTTTATCTGGCCCCATTTTATATTGGAATTTTTTAATTAAAATTAGATCTTCTCTTCTAGGCTTTTAAAATAAATTCTAATAATTCCAATTAAACAACAATTTATATATTTAGGATTTTTAGGGTGTGACAAATAGTTTATATTATTGAACGAATACAATAGATCATATATAAAGTGGTATAAAATTAAAACTAATTTAAAAGATGATGTTTAGAGACCTTTGATTTGATATTTTAATATATTATAGGTCTAGCTTAATTGCATACCCTTCCGTACACAGTATATTGTGCAGTATTATATTTTCTTTATTTTTTATATTATACGAAATCTATTTTAGACGGTCGTGTTTTCCACCAGTAATAAGTACGCATTTTTTTGGCTTTATTAATTTTTATAGTACGTAGATGTTTTTTTTTCTTCCGGCTAACTGTAGGAAGCTTCATTTGTCTTACTAGGTGATACCCCGCGCTTTGCTGCGGGATTCACTGATGAGTATATGTTAAATATTGTCGAAATGATGAAAGTTGAAATGTTGAGAAGAAAAATGTGAGAAAGATGATTTGACACATACTTGTGGATCTTTATAATATAATATTGTAGATGATATGTAATGCTTGTATGGGATTTAAAATAGGCTAGAATAGTAATTGCTAGTGAGTGAAGATATGGCATGGTTGCATGGGATTTTAAATGGGCTAGAATAGTAATTGTATGGGATTTTAAATGGACTAGAATAGTAATTGCTAGTGGGTGATGATGTGACATGCTTGCATATTGAGTTTTAGTTTTAATGGGTACTAACTATAAAGAAAGTACAGATTTTTTTCAATTGTATACTTGCGTACATTCTTTTATGTTTTCTTTCCTTTTCCCAGCCACCGGTTCCATATTTTATTTGTAAAAAAATGTATCACATTTTTAATAATAGATCTAATATGGTTTAAATTAGCGGCCTAGAAATATTTGTGGGAGTGCCACGTGGTGACAATAGATTTTTTAAAAGTTTAATGGACTTTTTTTAATATATAACAGATAGATAGATAGATTACACGTGCTACTTTGTGGCTTGTGGCTACTAATTGTGGTGCATATAAAGCATGCAGTTATTTTTTTTTCTTTGGGATTATATGTGCCGATCCTAACATAAAACCGGAACATATAGGTCTACCGTAGATGCGCTGCCATGCTATAAATACTGCGACGGATCATGCAAGATTTGCCATCCAACAAAACGTGGGTAGTGAGTAGCAGTAGTAGTATTCAGTTGCCGTCAATGGAGGATTCCCCTGTGGCAGTGGCCATCCCCTGGTTTGCCCTCGCTGCCGCTACGGCTGTGCTAGCAGGAGCTGCTTGGCTGATAATCCGCGCATGCAAAGCTGATGAAAGCTGCTGCAGGCTGCCGCCAGGGTCGAGGGGCCTCCCCCTCCTCGGCGAGTCGCTCGAGTTCTTCGCCCGGAGCCCATCCCTTGAGTTGCTTCCATTTCTGAAGCAACGTCTCGAGAGGTGACTGAACAATATTATGCGTAATAGTTTGTGCGTTCCTTCACATTTCACTTTTTTAAGCTTTTCGGTGGCCTCCAACGTGCAGTTATATTAATTGTTCTGGCCTTGCATATATATGGGCCTCTTTCTATTAATCATAGGCTCCCAATATACTCCATCGGATGGCCTAATCAGCTAAAGAAAAAGCTAAATTTTGAATTTTTAAACTTAATTTTGAGATTGATTTTAAGATATTTTCAATGTAGTTTCTTTTTTAGCATTGGCTTTTGAGTCACCAAGAACACATATATAAAAGTTTTACTTACAAATGTTGAATTTGCATGTGTGAATTATTGGCATGTCCATGTGGTGTTTTTAGATTACCCAAGTACTATATTAAGTCACATAACCAAATTTTGGGACTTATTTAGTCAATAAGAAATGTGAGGGACTAAATTGACTCTGAAAGAAGAAATTAAAGTTCAAGGATCATATATATAGATTGTTCACTCTATAATCTAATGGACCCTAAGAGCAAGGCTAATATCTAAGCCAGCTACGTGCTAGCTCTAATTTTATACATGTCATATATAAATAGCTCAAGAGATAACTTTTACAATAGAAGCTCTATCTACTTAAGCATATTTTACTTAGAAATTTTATTTTATTATACTTTATAGGAAAAAGTACGAATTACCGTACTGAACTATCGCGGTCGATCGAATTACCCCATAAACTAAAATACCAGATATTTTATATCATCAACTATTTAAACTAGACAAATAACTCCCCCTAACTCAATCCGGAGTGGATTTTGTCCTACGTGGCAGTCTAGTCAGCAATTTTTTATTTAAAAAATTAGTGGGGCCCACCTATGATATTCTCTCCCCTCTCTATCCTTTTACCCCTCTCACCTATCTCTATCTCTCTTTTGCGTTGGAGGCTGACAAATCCCACGTGTCGGCGGAGGCCAAGGATGAGCGGTGCGCCACAGTTACGAGCCTCCTCAAGGCGGAGGCCGAGAATGAGGCACACACCAACTGTGGCCAGCCCGTCAAGCTCACCATCTGGGCCTCGTCCTCCTGTGGTTAGGGAAGCAGCAGCTAGCGCTGGACTTGCACGAGAAGGCAGCCATGGCGGGGGAAATAAGACGGCGGGGAAGAGGGGACAACGCAATGGGGCGCCTGAAGAGGACGGTGGCATGGAAGCGGAGGAGAGGGCGGCGCGGTCGAAGCCGAAGATGCAGTGGCGAAGATGGCCATGGTGGGGAAATACGATGGTAGGGGAGACAGCTAGACACGGCAGGGTGCCTGCAAATGCCGGCGGCATGGAGGCGGAGCTCCTTGGCCGATGACTGGCATCGGCGAGCTGTGGAACATTGATCTCGAGGCCGTTTCCCCTAGGCTCGAGCTCTACCACCGACCGACAAGTCCAAAGTCCTCCTGCTCCGACCCCCCCTCCCTTCTCGTCGGCCGGAGGAGGATATGTTGGGTCATGGTTTTGGCACGCTTGGATTTGACGCCGCCGGCACGCGCCGCCCTCGCTTCCGCCTCCATACCGCCGGCCTCTATAGGCGCCGCACATGTCATCCCATATCCCCCGCCGCCAAATTCTCCGTGGCGAGCGTGTGCAGGAGAGCAGGCCGGCCACCGCAGACGCACGTTTCAGAAGATGAGGGGGGAGAGAGAGGAGGGGTAGGGATTTTGACAAGTGGGCCTTAGCGATTTTGTTAGAAAAAAAAATTGCTGACTAGACTGCTATGTGGGCTATTTGAACCCTAAACCACTCGCAATAGTGAGGGGGGTTCTGTCTGTTTTTTTGAGTTTACGGGGGCAATTCGATCGAGGGGTAATTATACTTTCACCTTTATTATATGGTGGGTCCCACTATCCTATCTCCCCTTCCTTTTTTTTTGTCCTTTTTGCTCTTGAAGAGCAATGAGTGGTGGATAGGGTCTTTGGCCCACCATGAGTTAGAGATTGTGGTAGAACCGGCGCTTATTTAGTCGTCTTTTTCTTTCTCTTTCTTCCTCTCTCTATTCATACTCACCTAAATAATCTCATTCGATATTTCAATATAAGCCAGCTGAGTAGGATTGTTAATTATACCTACCTAAGCATACGATATTCATGGATGGATGTATATACATGCTAATTAATTGGCATAAATGGATCAATTTTCTGCAGGTACGGCCCAATTTTCAGGACAAACATAATTGCTCAAGACATGATCGTGTCCCTTGATCCGGAGCTGAACAACTTGGTGTTCCAACAAGAGGAGAGGCTCTTCCAGTGTTGGTACCCGAACTCATTCATGAGAGTCTTCGGTGCAGATAGCATCATCACGACGTTCGGGTCCTCACACAGGCACGTCAGGAACCTGGTCCTCCGGCTCTTCGGCCCTGAAAACCTCAGGCGAGCAATGCTCCAGGAGATGCAGAAAACGGCTCAGGCCAGCCTGCTCTCCTGGCTTGATCGTCCGAGCATCGAAGTGAAAGAAGAAGTCTCAAGTGTAAGCATGCACATATATGCATGACCTCAATTATGATATATAGTGTACGACATGATATATCATTGGATCTAATTGCTTGTTTAGCACAGTAGTTAAAAGTCTAATTAATATATGTTGTACATTTTTTAATATTATTTATAATCCTGGCAGATGATAATATTCAGCATAATAGCGAAGAAGTTAATCAGCTACGACTCTTCAGCATCAAACGGGAAGTTGTGGAAACAGTTCGATGCATTCCTTCAAGGATTACTTGCAGGTAAACATATAAAATATATAGAGTGGCTTTACCTTTCAAATAATGTTTAGATAGAATATGTATATACACGATCGATCATGACAATCAATTCGATCACTGTATATATATGCAGGGACGAAAAAATGTCATGAGGATGTTGAGAGAATTGCTCGACGAGAGGAAGAAGAAGACAGCACATCAATTGGAAAGCATCGACTTCTTCGATGCTTTGATTGATGAGCTGAAGCAGGAGAAGCCTGCAGTGAGTGAGAACGTCGCGTTGGATCTGCTCTTCTTGCTGTTGTTCGCTAGCTTCGAGACCACCTCATCCGGGATCACCGCGATACTCAGGTTTCTAACGGACAATCCAATGGCTTTGGAAGAACTAACAGTAAGTGCAAGGAAATTAACTACTACTCTGATACTACGTACTAGTAGAACTAGCTACTGATGCTTTCCTTCTGTATGTACATTGCTCTGTTGTTGGATATGGACATATGCTTTCTTTCCTGAAAATTTAATTAGTATTTGTGGCGATGTGTTAGAAATAATTAAGACTTAATTATTAAAGTATTGTGCTATATGCATTTGCTGATAAAATGATACTAATTGATGCCTTCAGGAGGAGCATGATCGCATCCTGAAACGAAAGGCCGATCCAAACTCCCAAATCACATGGGAGGAATACAAGTCTATGAAATTCACATCTCATGTATATGCATATTACCTTTCAGTCTTTTTATTACTGCTTGCTTAATGCATATTTGTAAGCATGACTTCATATGCATGCGAAAACCATGTATATTTGTAATCATATAATGTGCATCTTCTTGATTAATTATCATTTTATTGGTTATACATGAGGCTTTGAGGCTGGCTAACATCGCTCCTGTAGTGTTTAGGAAAGCCAGACAGGATGTTCATATAAAAGGTAGGAACAGGCAGGAAGCAACACATCTTTTATTTTTAATCAATTTGGAACATCATATGCATATATATAGATCCTAAAGTTTCATTTGAAGAAAAGAGGCTTTGTGCATTGCAACCTGAGAGAATAATTAATTGCTCTAATAGTTGGCTGCAACTATTTATATATACTAGGTGATTCCCCGCGCTTTGCTGTTGTTTACTAAGCAATTCTTGATATATGATTTTTCGATAATCAAGCTAGGAGTAAAAATAAAAATAATAAAACATCAAGATTTGTCAGTACTTATCATGAAACAAATAAATGATAAATGCACTTTAATGTGAAACATATTGATAAGTATATGTTAAATATTATAAAAATGTAGATATATTTGTTAAGATATTATGCAAATGATGTGAGGAGTGATGATTGAATATGCTTACATGTTGATTGTAGAATTAAATAAATTTTAGGTTATGTTATATGGTTGCATGAGATTAAATATGTAATTATTACGAGTGATGATGTGGCATAGTTACATGTTGATGAGCTTTAGACTTAGTGGTTAATAACTTTATATAATGTATAGATAACAGTTTTAATGACTTCTACTGCACATGTTCATAATTTGTACAGGCTACACTATCCCAAAAGGATCAAAGATCATGCTTAGTCCTTCCAATATTCATCTGAATCCTACGGTATATAAGGACCCCAATGAATTCAATCCTTGGAGATGGAAGGTTTGTGGTGAAATTCAAAGCAACTTATAATTTTTCCGTCTCTCTAAAATAAAATTCTGCATGTATATTATTACTATCACTGGTGGAGAAACCATCTTTCGTTGGTCGGGCTAATTCCATAATAGTCCCGGTTGCAACAAAAACCGGTTCTTTAGTCCCGATTCTTTAGTCCCGGTTCAAATGCTGCTAGGGCCTGTCAGGCCCACCCCCCCGGGATCTTTAGTCCCGGTTAATAACACCAACCGGGACTAAAGATCGTAACTTTAGTCCCGGTTGGTCCCGGTTGGTGTTATGAACCGGGGCTAAAGATCCGGCGATCTTTAGCCCCGGTTGGTAACACCAACCGGGACTAAAGTCCCACCCCTATATATATGTCTTCTTCCTCCTCCAGCCCGAGCAAGCTTCAAAATTTCTTCAAAAAAGAGGGGAGGTCATGCCAAAATTTCTAGTGAATTTATTTTAATGATTATATACAAATCGGAGGTGCCTAAAAGGTTAGCAACTTCATCCTCCAATGTTTTTTTTTTCATATTACATTTGGAGCTATGTTTTGCACACTTTTTTGTCTCCAAAATTTTGTTGTTAGTTGATGAGAGAGAAAATTTGTGTGGAGAAGAAAGAATATATAGAAATTTAGTTTATTTGCTAAAGAAGGTTTTATAAAATAGTTGAGATGGAAAATATAGTGAAAGTTAATCTTGAATAATAGAAAACAAAGTAAAATGAAAAATTAAAATAAGTACAACACATTAATATTAGTTTAAAACTTTATAAATAGTAAATATATAATTATTCAGTGTAATATTTCATAATATTTGTATGAATAATGATATGTCATTATTGTGTGACTGTTGAAAGAGTTTGTAATTATTTTATAATTATTGTATGACTGTCATTATTGTACGAATAATTATGTGTGTACGATTTTTTTTCATGTCATGTAGATGGATCGGCAATGGATGTACGCTGACCGGCGGTCCAAAGAGTTTATTGACGGCGTGCATTATTTTTTGAGAGTGGCCGAAGCTAACAAGCATAAGGATTTTATTTGTTGTCCATGCAATAAGTGTAAGAATCAGAAGGAGTATTCTGCATCCAGGACTATTCATTTCCACTTGTTTGAGTCGGGGTTCATGCCAAGCTATAATTGTTGAACATCCCACGGAGAGCAAGGTGTTGAAATGGAAGAAAATGAAGTGGAAGACGACAATATTCCGGACTTTGCTCAGTACGCTGGATTTGAAGGAAATCAAACGGGCGAGGAGGAAAGGGATGCTGATGGTAACAACGTTGCGGATGATCTTGGTCAGATGTTGCAGGACGCCAAGGAGGATTGCGAAAGTGAAAAGGGGGCCCATAAATTGGACAAGATGTTAGAGGACCACAGAACGTCGTTGTACCCAGGTTGCGAGCAGGGGGCACAAAAAGTTGGATACCACTCTGGAGTTCTTGCACTGGAAGGTAAAAAATGGTGTTAGTGACAAGGCATTTGGCGATTTATTGAAACTCGTCAAGAACATTCTTCCGGAGGGAAACAAGTTGCCCGAGACAACGTACGAGGCTAAGAAGATAGTCTACCCTCTAGGACTGGAAGTTCAGAAGATTCATGCATGTCCGAATGATTGTATCCTATATCGTGGTGAGGAGTACGAGAACCTAGAAGCATGCCCTGTTTGCAAAGCACTACGATACAAGATTAGACGAGATGATCCAGGAGAAGTTGACGGGCAGCTAACGAAGAAGAGAATTCCTGCTAAGGTGATGTGGTATTTTCCTATAATACCACGGCTAAGGCGTTTGTTCAGGAACAAGGGGAATGCTAGAATGATGCGATGGCACGCTGAAGAGCGTCAACAGGACGGGATGCTGAGACACCCCGCCGATGATTCGCAGTGGCGAAACATCGACAGAAAATTTAAAGACTTTGGAAAGGACGCACGAAACATATGGTTTGGTTTAAGTACAGATGGCATGAATCCTTTTGGAGAGATGAGCAGCGGCCATAGCACTTGGCCCGTTACGATATGTATCTACAACCTCCCCCGTTGGCTATGCATGAAGAGGAAGTACATAATGATGCCGATTATAATTCAAGGCCCCAAGCAACCTGGTAACGACATTGATGTGTACCAAAGACCACTGGTCGAAGATCTTAACCTGTTGTGGAAGAAGGAAGGTGTCCCCGTGTGGGATGAGGACAAACAGAAGGAGTTTAACCTACGAACTCTGCTGTTCGTAACCATCAACGATTGGCCTGCACTTAGCAACGTATCCGGGCAGTCCAACAAGGGGTACAAGGCTTGCACTCACTGTATGGATGAAACAGAAAGTATGTATCTTAAGCACTCTAGGAAGGTTGTGTACATGGGTCATCGTCGATTCCTTGCAGCAAACCACCCGGTACGGATGAAAGGCAAGCACTTTGAATATAAGGCGGACCACCGTACGAAGCCTAAACATCGCAGCGGGAAAACAGTGTTTGCTATGGTTAAAGATCTTAAAGTAGTGTTTGGAAAGGGGCCTGGTAGCCAGCCTATAGAGAGCGAAGATGGTCACGCGGCGATGTGGAAAAAGAACTCTATATTTTGGGAGTTACCCTATTGGGAATTCTTGGACATCCGCCACGCAATCGATGTGATGCACCTCACTAAGAATCTTTGCGTAAACCTTCTTGGCTTCCCAGGTGTATATGGAAAGTCGAAAGATACACTGGAAGCACGTAATGATCTGAAGCATATGGAACAACGCGGTGACCTTCACCCGGAACCAAAGGAGAAAGGAAGCCATTACTTGAGTCCAGCTAGCTACACTCTTAGCAAGGCAGAGAAGGAAAGTATGTTTGAATGCTTGGAGAGCATCAAGGTACCATCTAGATACTCCATGAATATAAAGCGAATAATAAGCACGAAGGAGAAGAAGTTCACAAATCTAAAGTCTCATGACTGTCACGTGTTGATGACACAGCTGCTACCAGTTGTAATAAGGGGTATCCTCCCAAACAATGTCCGGGCAACAATAACAAAGCTATGTGCTTTCATGAACGCAATTTCGCAGAAGGTCATCGATCCTGATAGATTAGAAGCCCTGCAGAATGATGTGGTGCAATGTCTTGTCAGCTTTGAGTTGATATTTCCACCTTCATTTTTCAATATAATGACGCATCTGCTTTGTCACCTTGTCAAAGAGATCGGTATTTTCGGTCCTTTGTACCTACACAACATGTTTCCTTTCGAGAGGTACATGGGCGTTCTGAAGAGGTATGTTCGTAACCGTGCTCGTCCAGAGGCAAGCATCACCAAGGGGTATGGAACAGAGGAGATCATTGAATTCTGCGTAGAATTTATCGAAGACCTTCGCCCAATCGGGGTACCTGAATCACGCCATGAAGGGAGACTACGGGGAAAGAGGACTCTCGGAAGGAAAGCAATAATGACAGTAGACAACAATTTATTCCATAAAGCCCATTTCACGGTTCTGCAACAATCTTCATTGGTGGCTCCCTACATCGAGGAGCACTTGGCTCTAGTTCGCGCCAGAAACATCGGTAAGTCCGATGCATGGATTACAAGGCATCACATTGATACTTTCTCCACGTGGCTGAAACAATATCTCATGGGTAATGAGACGATTAACCAACAACTGGCCTTCCTGGCGAGGGGACCATCTGGCTCGATCGCGACATTCCAAGGATATGAAATCAATGGGTACACATTCTACACGAGGGTCCAAGACATGAAGAGCACGAACCAGAACAGTGCTGTTCGTATCGATGCCATGGAACACGATAGTACAACTGGCACATTTTACGGTGCCATCGAGGACATATGGGAACTTGACTATGGACCTCTCAAGGTCTCTCTGTTCCGGTGCCAATGGGTTAGGTTGACTGGTGGAGGCGTAACGATTGATGACAGTGGGATGACAACGGTTGACCTTAACAAGGTTGGATACTCGGACGAACCTTTTGTCCTTGCCAATGATGTAACCCAAGTTTTTTACGTCAAGGACATGTCTAGCAAAGAAAAAAAGGGCAAAGGGCCTGACGAGCCGAAGCGCCACGTGGTTCTCCCAGGAAAAAGAAAAATCGTTGGAGTAGAGGACAAGACTGACGAGGATTACGATCAGTTTGATGGGCAACCCCCTTTCATAGTGACAATTGACCCTAGCATCCTCCTATCAAATGAAGACACCCCTTACTCACGTAGCGATCACAAGGAAGGAACAATAGTGAGGAGAAAGTACGTGCGGTCAACCGTCACCGCTGATGTATTGCCGTAATTGTTCTGTACACGATGTAAACTATATTGGATGTACTGAATATCCATACAAATCAATTGTTGTATGGCATATGTTAAATATGTATGATTATTAGAATTTTTATCAAATTGAAATCATCCATATGCTAGTTATATATGATTATTAGATTTTTTTGTTAATTATGTATGATTATTAGAATTTTAATCAAATTGAAATCATCCATATGCTAGTTATATATGATTATTAGAATTTTTAAAGGTTTTAAATCATGCACGTGGTATTTACATATGTTAATTATACACTAGTACAGATCCTTCCATCTGTGACGGCCCATAACAAGACTGGAATTTGCAGGCCGTCACAAGGAAGTAATCTCAATCGGGCCGAAGTTTCGCCCGATTGAGATATGGTCGCACAACCATGGTATATCGGCATAAAACTAAAGCTCATCACGGATGACACTTATCTGTGACGGGCTATAGTTGAGGCCCGATTGAGATGAGGGTTCCATATCTCAATCGGGCCCTAAAAGAAGCCCGTCACAGATGAGGGTCATCTGTGACGGGCTCCAACTAGAGGCCCGATGGAGATAAGTTTATTGCCCGTCACAGATGACACTCTTTTTTGACGGCGTTTTATTAAGGCCCGATAGAGATTACTTGTATGCCCGTCACGGTTGATTGTTTTAGGGCCGTTACAGATATTTGTTGCACAGTATAAATACCCCCCACCACCTAGTGTAACTGTATCCCACTGTTCACTATTTTGGTGGGAGGCTGTAGGGGGCGATTTTTTTGTCCTTTTTCCAAGGAAAACAGAAATTAAATTCCCAAAAGTGATCAAAATGGATCAATCAAATGAGTAATATAAATCATTAATTGAGC